TTAGTTATCCACAGTATCTATAATAATTGTGAATAGAGGAAGTTAAACCAAACATACCCCAGATATGTCACACAGCAGATATTTTTTTAAAAGAAACCGACCTCATTCTTATACCAAGTATTGGAACTCGGTACCAATCTAGTTAGATAAAATGTATGCATTCATCTCATTACCAAATTACCAATGTTGTTTTGATACCAGTGTTATTTTTAATTACTGAGTTACTGCTTATCGTTATCTTTGTAGCTGTCTTAAAATAAACTTATGTTAGATAAATTCGGATATTTCTGCATTCCAAGTTCAATGGTTTTAGTATTAATAGGCAATATTGAAGCCAGAATATCTTTTTTATATATTTTTGTACATCTTCTACTTTAGCACCATTTTTGGACAATTTTTGACAAAAATGTTCAATTTATTGTCGACCATTTTTTGCCAAAATATTTTCTTAGACAAGATGTCTCTACCAGATCCATTCTTTTGTCGAAAACGACAACACTCATCATTATTCACTCTGACTTTATCCTTATGCTGGTCGGCTTGACTAATTATATTTTTCCATAAGATTTCATCTAGGTTCATCCATACATCCTATGGCTCTACATCATACCTCTACATTCATTATGGTCTGTAGCCATTCACCTCCACGATCGACTGCCAAGGAGATTTCTGGCGTGCTCATCCACTTCATCCTCCCATCGCTTTCTCGGTCCTCCAATAGGTCTCCTCCGCAGAATTCTTGCATTCAACAGTTGTTTTCTTACATCCTAAATACAGTTGCGGTCACGGAATAGTTTACAGGTTCACGTATCTAGGAGCCCATTTTTTAAATTTTTACTTCGTTTAAACGCACCTTTTACGTCAAAGTGACGTTGCCAGTGGTGTACTAGCTAGAATAGGTAGATTAAAATTAAAATATCAAAATATTTTACAAAATGAAAAATATAGAAAACAGTTTTTTGAATAAAATGGATTATGATCTTAATAACGAAAATAAAGAAGTCTTTTTTTTAATATGCATTTTATTTTAAATCTATTTTTATATTAAATAACGATAAACAATGATAAATAATAATTAATATTTGGTGGAAGCCCCATTCTTGTCAATACAATTTTGCAGTCTTCTGTTCATAGATAGCACCAATCCCCTCATGTTATAGTTAACAAGCTCTTCCCATGCCTGCTCAATTGCTTCCCATAAATCAATTCTATTCCGTGGTCTAAGGTTTCTTTCATTTAGTTTCTTTGTTAACTCTGCCCACACATTTTCGACGGGGTTAAAGTCTGCACTACGGGAAGGCCACGGAAGAACATTAACATCAGTTTCTTCTAGCCATTCTCGAACAATTCTACTCGTATGCACCGGGCAATTGTCATGTTGGAAGATAAAGTCGTTGTTGGGAAATCTCTGGATCACCGATGGCAACATTGTGTGCTCAATAATATGTTTGTAATATAATCCTGTTAACTTCTCCTCTACATGATAACAAACGCCCGGGCCTTCGGCACTTATCCATCCCCATACGTTGACAGAGAATCCTCCACTATTTCTTAAATGATGCGTATACTGTTCATCATACCTATGATTTCTCGGCCTATAAACTCTTATTCGACCATTATTATACGACTGAAATACTTTTTCATCGGAAAATACAACCCTAGACCAAAAATTCTCATCGCGGTTTATAAATTCATTACAAAATTCAACTCGTCTCCTCTTGTGATCCTCAGTCAAAAAAGGTTTCCGTGCAGCTACACAATTTAGCAGTCCACTTGCTTTAATTCTTCGACGTGCAGTGCGAATACTGCCTGGAAACGCTGCCTTCTCTTGCCTTTTGAGCTGTGGCAAAAGGAGATTCTCTCAAATAATCTACTAACATCTCATCCTGTTGATCTGTGGAAATCTTCTGCCCTCCTGAACCGCCCAACCGTGCTATAGAGTGAAAATTATCCCATCTTTGTTTAATCTTCCATATGCACATATGACTCACGTTCAAATCAGCAGCAACTTGCCTTAGTGACCAACCTTCTTCGAGTTTGGCAATTGCTCTTGCTTTTTGCGCATAATTCAAATGTATTCTAACCATTTTGGAAGAGTTTACTATACTTTTATTTTATTGTTGAACACTCGCGAAAGCATTGACGTTTTGAAATTTTTTGACTTTGACATTTATCAAATCCGTACGACACTGCAATTTTACAGTATTACAATATAAAAAGTAAGGTGTAAACTATTCCGTGACCGCAACTGTACATGGCCTGTCCATGATGTTTCACATCCATAGCTCACTATCGGTCGAATTATGGTTTTGTAGACTCGTATCTTAGTTATTTGATGTACGGCTCGTGATTTAAATATCCTACTCATAGCAAAGTAGGCCGTATTGTCTGGGATGATGTTTGTGCTAAGCTCTGCATTGTCAATGTTGTCATTTGTAATGTTGACCCTTAAATAGATAAAGCCATTTAACTTTTCTAAGTTGTCAACTGTCAGGTAGAGTCGTATTGCTTTCTCTGATCGAGTTTGTACTAGAATTTTAGTCTGACATATAGATTCATACCAATATCAATACCATTCAAAGACGTCCTGTCTACGAGTCTCCCTCCAAATATTTCTCTGCTACTCATTCTCAGCAATCCTTCTTATTTGATGATTAGTATATCTACTTTGGACATGCCCTAATCATCTTATATTATGTACTCCCATTTTGGCATCAATTGATGCTTTCTCTATTCTTAATTGTAACCTTTTTTGTTACTACAATCATCAAGCTGTTTTGTATTTTGTCTGTTATGTAATCCAACATTTATGAGAAGAATTGAGGATTGAGCTCTGATGTAGTCATACTTTCATATGAAATTTATCAGTCCTCCCACAGCTGTTGTTACTCTCTCGTAAATATCTTTCACTTCCTCTTAAAAACTCTCTCCCATATCTCAACAACGATATTTTTATTTCGAAAAATGATACGAGCCGTTCACCATGCTCTGAAGGGCACGTAAAGCCGTCGGTCCTCTTGAGTCACACCGACACTTCTTCTTTTTCATAAACCATGTTCTTTCAGAACGTTGGTTACCATCATAGCTATCTTAATTTTATTCACTGCCAGCCTAAATAGCATGTTTGCATTAACACCATACCAATCTCGCAAGTTCTTCAACCATGAGGTTCTTATTCTTTTTGGACTGCGTTTGTCTGGTATTTTTCCTTGCATGATATTTTGTAGCAACTTTTTTTTTTTTCGTCTTTATAGAGGGGGGGTCTGGAATCTTCAAAAGACATTTTAGTCCAGGACGCCGCCTGACTGACCTTAGTGCAGGATTCGTTCTTCGTACTCCCGGCGATAGTTCCCGAGGTACTTTAAAATGCTCCCTCGTCGCTGAGTCTACGCCGAACGCCTACCTGCTAAACCAGACCCTCCTCTGTCATCCAGCGATCCGGAAGCGGAATGGCCGCTGTAAGGCCAGCATCACTTCCGAAGCACTACCTTTATTCCTTCATTCTCCATTCATACACATCCACACTCCACACTCATCCACACTCCTAGTTCGGCATCATTCTCAGAAGGGCATTTCCTCCTTCCCCACAGTCAAACTCACGCATTCTAACTCAAAAAGTGTGACCCACTGTTTTAACTTCACCTTTCAGCATCATTCACTCTACCTTTGCCGTTGGTCCAGCTGTCTTTCTTCCTCTTCCTTTTTTTTGATCACTGCACGGATATAACTGTGTATGTTAATCCAACCTAATTTATTTTCAATCATTCTCTCAATCATTTTGTAGCAACCTATATTTGGAGCCTCTCATTACATGTCCGAAATACTCCAGTTTTCTCTGCTTGATGCTTTTTATGATCTCAGTAGTCTTGCTGAGACATTCTAGTATTGTGTAGTTTCGAATCTTCTCCACCCAGGAAACTTTTAAAATTCTTCTATAGCACCACATTTCGAAAGTCTCAAGGCTATTTAGATCGATTTTATTCACAGTCCAGGACTCGACACCATAAAGTAAGACCGAGAACACGTAGCAGCGAAGTAGGCGGATTCCCAATGCCAATTTTAGGTCTCTGTTACATAACACCTTGGACATCCTAAAAGCAGCTCTAGCCTGCACTATCCTAGATCTAATTTCGCTGTGACTTTCTGCATTACAATTTAATTGCTGTCCAAGGTAAACAATTAACTTGCTCTAAAACATGGTTAAAGGTGTAATTGCCTGGAACGATCTCCTCGGTAAAAATGCCATACTATATTATTATTCTCTCCTATATTTTAATTGTGTGACTAAGTAGTTTTATGGATCTGTAGTGTGTGAATTGTTGAACATTTCCTTTGTTTTGTATACAGCTACTAATATACTGCTTCCTCATTTCACTGTATAAATACTGTACCCTGAATTTAAAAGTCTTGGACACTTACACACTTAACATCCTGTAGATGTTTTTATTGCGTGGAAAGCATACACTTTTTGGGTCCTTTTTGTCATTCAACTATCTCAGCCTATTCGCTTTCATGTATCGAACTGTAGCTATAATGTAGCTATTTGTTGGAATTTATTACCGTTTATTTTAGTTTACAGCATAGATAATGTTTCTGAGTACTTTGCTTTTTACTATTATTTGTTAGATATGCCATATTGTAGTACACGACACTTTATCTTTCGTAATTATGCTTCTCATATTTGATGTATTTTACTCGTTTATAGTAAGTGCACATCATTGACAGGATTAAACACATTTTTACTACATAGTGTTCTTATTTTGTATTCTTTTTAAAATAAATAAATAATATATTCAGGTTCCCGATTTGTTTTCTATATTGACTTGTAAGAAATGTCTAAACTTGTAAAATAATTCACTTTAATGGAATATAACATAAATGGAAGTCAAAGCGTATGTTAAATATTAAACTTAAAATGTAATAAAGATGTAGTAAATCTAATCAAGATATAGACCAGAGAAATTGAAAAAAAAATTTTCTTATATTTTTCAGCTTAGGACATGATATGGATGCTGTTTTTAATTGCTGCCCTAAGTGAGTATACGTTTATTCAAATAATGTAGAACGTAAGATCTTAAAAAGTAAAAGCTTTGTAATTTTTTCTGGTCCATAAAACTCATTTACAAAAATTTTGTACTCATTTAGATATATAAACAGTAACGTAATTCCCCAATATTTGGCTACACATTAATTAATAAACTATAATGTGCATATGACAATATTGATTTAAATATACTCTGTAATAAACTTATGTTTCATGGTATTCCAAAATCGATAGCACTTTTAGTATCAAATCTATACAAACACAGAAGTGTATCGATAAGAGGAGATCACAATATTATTGGACCCAAGATCACATCAAAAGGTATTCCATAGGGAGCTGTTTTAAGTCCACTTCTTTTTAATTTGTACACATACGATTTGCACAATATAATCGTTAAATAAATTCAATATTTCGTACCAAAAATGTGCCGTACTATTTTTTTCAAGAAAACACCCTATTAAAAATCACGCTGTAACCTTAAATGGCAATGATATTCGAATTGTTTCGGAATTTAGATATCTTGTATATCTAATTTTTTTTAGGAAAAAGGTATTCATTTTCTTAAAATTGTGTGTAAGAGATCGTGGGGTGCAGATCAAAACATTACATTGAATTTTTATCGAGCCTATTATATAAGATCTATAATAGATTATTGTTGTGTGGTATATGGGTCAGCTAGCATAACCAATTTACGTAAACTTGATAGAATCCAATTTCAAGCTCTAAGGATTGTGTTAGGATTGATGAAAAGCACTACAATGAAGCCACCCGAGCTCTAGCATCTGAAAACCCACTCTCATTGCGCAGAGAATATCTAGCCAGCAAATATTTCCTAAACCAACATTATCGTGGCACTTATAATGCAAAAATAATTAATGAATTAAATACAACTGATTTAACATCTACATACTTCATTAAAAAAAATCCACCTCTTGCAAGAGCAATTATAACTTGCAACGAACTCAAGTTAATAAATTCCCCTTGTAATCTTATCTGGGAATCGTTGGATATACCACATCTAACAAGTGTTCTAGCTACAAATATTATTATCCCCAAATACCAAAACGAATTTTGCTACACTTCTTCTAAAGAAATCTTAAGTGGCTATTCAGATAATATTGTGATCTATACAGACATGTCAAAATCACCAACATGTACAACCAGTGCTTACTTTGTACCAAAAATGAAGATTAAAAAATCATTTATTTTAAATAATCAATCCAGCATTTTTTCTGCTGAAGTATGTGCTATATACAAAGCCCTTGAATTGTGCTGTGAAAACTAGTGGAAACAAATTTGTAATGTGCAGTATTACACTCCTTACAAAACTTTAAATTCATAATCAATAGCAATATATTCATATTAGAAATTTTTCAACAGTTACTAAAACTATCAGATCCATATGGTACTAAATTTCTATGGGTATAGCTAAAAATCCATTACAGCACCCACATATGGTGATAGAAGAATTTAACACATCTGACCTACTTGCCTATATCAAACAATATATTAAATTTAAATGGGACAGACAATGGATTGAGTTTGGTGAAAGCAGGGGCACTAATTTATACAAATTACAACCAACAGTAGATGTAAAACAATTTTACAAAGATGTTACACTAAGCAGAAACACAGTGTCAACACATGTCTTAAGATTAAAAGTAGATTATAGATGTTTTCCGAAACATCTACACAAAATAGGAGTTCTCCCAACAGACCGATGTGAATGTGGAACTAGTATAGCTGATTTAAATCACATATTCTTCAACTGCCCACTACATCGTAATACAAACACGTGGCTGCTAAAAGAGTTGATAAAAGAGGTTTAAGTAAATCCATTTAGATTTATAAAATACCTCTAGAGTGACTGTTTAGGCAAGCACAATTGTTATAAACAGTAAACTGCCAGAGGGAGACCGGCCCTGGCAAGGTATGGTTAAGTTGTACTGATATCGTACTCCTAGTTTTTAATAAAAACAAGTGGTTTTATTAAATAGTTTTTTAAAATTAAAGTGTTTATCTACTAGATACTACTACGTAAGTTATCTATACGTAATTATTATTTTTATTAGTGTGAAAAGAAAACGTCAATAACAAATATATACTACCGTACAATCATTTTGTGAGGTTAGCTGTTATAAGTACCTTATAATAGCATGCGGTTAGTTTTTCACTTACCAGAGTCGGAGTAAGGCCTTCTCCGCAATAGCTTAAAATGACTTCACAGAATGTAAACACACCTTCCGATCTAACCAGTCCAGTAAATCAACGTTCAAATATCACACATTGATCATGTACAGTTATGCATCAGCCGCTTCATACTCTTTTCCGAGTAAGACTCAAGCAATTGTATTTAGTTGCATCGATAATGCTAAACTGCAGGATTATCTCATTCCTTTGGGCACAATCGTCAACCCAAAAAATATTATTTTTTCATCTAGACTATCTCATAATAGAATCGGCATGTATTTGGCAAACAAAACCGTAGTAGATAACTTCATGACACAACATGGCTCTATAGAAGTACTCGGCGAAGTTGTAACAGCACGAAGACTTGTTTCTCCAGCAGAAAGACTAGTCTTGTCTGGAGTCTGCCCGTCAATTTTCATCAAGTATTAGTTGGAGAATTACAGAATATCGGTTTAAAGCTTATTTCCCCAATATCATTTCTGAAAATTAGCTCGACTCTCCCCGAATATAGTCACGTATTGAGCTTTTGGAGGCAAGTTTATATAAGCCCTATAACATCACCAATTCCAGATTCTATTCTAATAAATTTCGATCAAACACCTTACCGCATATTTTTGTCACAAGGTACACTTACCTGCTTTATTTGCAAAAATATAGGACACATATCATCCCAATGCAATAACAGTTCAGTAACGGAATCAACTCATATTGAGTCAAACAATGAAGTACCAAATCAAACAGCTTCAACAAGTATACTACACAAGGTACCAAACACCCAGCAGTCATCAAGTTATCCATTATCAAATCCAAGCATATCACCTACACCTACAAATCTCCATGACAAAGCAATTACTATCGGTCCTACTCATAACAACACTTTCAATCAACCTCATTCAGTAGCAATACCGTTTGCACAAACTTCGGAAGCAATATCCTCCAATCTATCAGCTCCTTTTTCATTAGATACAACTGCAGACAATTCTAATAAAACTAATACATCAAGACAATTTTCTGAAACAACCATTTCAACCAATCTTACAAATAAAACTTCAAGCTCGAGTTCTGTCATTACCAAGGAGTTTGCTCCAGTACTTCCAAATGTAATAAACCCACAGCATCCAAGTGAAAACTCTAATAACAATTCCGAAAACACAAGTTCTTCCATAAAACGCAGTATTGGTGAGATCGTCACGCCTTCTTCAGACTCAGTAATTTCATCAGAAAATCTGTTTGCAAAACCCAAACCCTCTAAACCAAAAAAACCGCGCTCATATAAAGTCCCATCTACACGAGAAACTACACGAGAAAATTTCATTGATAATCATACCCCACCATTCGTTTTAAATTACCACCAATTGTCCTTACTGATTGATAATGTCCAAGGCTCCTCCGACACTATTAGCGTCGTCAAAGAATTTACAACTGATATGGATGGTTTACTCCATCTTTTACAAAGCAGCTATCAATATGCAAATGATAGATCTACAAAAAGCAAGTTTACAAAACTTCAAAAGAAACTATACAACCATTTAGAGAAAGAGATTTCTGACTTAGATAGTGACTCTTCTGTAGACAATTGTTCAGTATCATCTAACTCCGAATCTGTTAACATTCAACGCGATACTTCAATGGAACATTGATGGATTTTTTCATCGTCTCCCTATGCTAAAGCTTCTTTTATCTAAATATTCTCCAGATATTATTATTTCTTATGAACATGGAAGAAGCGTCCAATTTTTATGGGTTCCCTCAAACGTCGGAATAACAAGAAATGAAGAAGCTGACAGGACTGAACGAGAGGCAATTTTAAATGATTTGTCAAAGCCGATAGACAAGTATGTTTTTAGTGGCTTAGAAGTTTATTTTAAAAATAAAGTGTGGTGTTTGTGGCAAAATGAGTGGTCTCAAACTAATTCCAATCTAAATAAAATCAAAAATGATGTGTCTCAGTGGTTTCCATCGTCGCTCAATAGACGAGAACAAGTTGCGGTTGCGCGTTTACGCCTAGGACATACCAGATTAACGTACTCCTACCTTTTCACAAAGAAAAATTCACCTATATGTGATCAGTGTAACGTCCGATTAACAGTCGAACATTTTTTAACAATTTGTAGTAAATATGACCAAGAAAGACAGCGCTACAAGATCCCAAACGCTCTATTACAGGCTCTAGGTCAAAACTGTTCCTGTAACAATATAGTGAATAATCTTAGATCCATAAACATTTTGTACAATCTGTAGGTGTTTAACTTTGTTTTTTATATTTTGTTCCGTCGCTAATAACCGTTTGGTGGATGCGACATCTTTTTCTAATAAAAAAAAGTAAACTGCCAGAATTTTAAGAGGTTATGTTACATGTATTTATGCAAAAAACAAAGTCATTAACATTTATAAATTATTACAAAGTACATGTTTTTTATAATTATCTCGGTCAATTGTTTATGTATTTTATTTTGGAGACTCTTAAAATAAAGAAGTTTTTATAATCTACAGCTTTTAATCAAACTATTTTTCTCTAGAACATATAATATACTTTTTATAGACAAAAACTATGTTTTTCACTTTTTAAGATTGTTAAAAAAAAAACAAAATCAGCTGTACGTCTTCACAGATTTTCATCAATTACCTATCATATTATACCTTTTAGATCCTTTAAATATCTGTATAAGATTTTTTAGCTTTTTTTTTAATTGACTGGGGTATACGTGATACAATGTGAATTGTTTATAAACAAACTAAATTAAAAGTTTTTCAAAGACAAATATTAAAACCCGAACGAATGATACATTCAAGTAAAACA